AAACATGAAGAAAGAAACCACTCCTTGTCAAATCACAATGTCAAAGAAAATTGTATTCATGAGTTTGGCATTCAATGATGACACTATTGCTGAAGTGATTAAAAGTCGTCTATCAAAGGTTCCTTCCATGCTGTTGACCTACACACACTTAGTAATCTCCAGTAGAAGTGAATCCTAAACTACCGCCACCTGTATGTTCGTCTGCTCTTTCACATGCTCCTGTGGAGCTGACTATATTGGATGTTGTAATCTTGTTCCTCGCAAACGGCTAGCTGAACAATCCATTTCGCTTGGTGAAAGGCTAGCATAAGATGATGCAGTTTCCCACTTGTGGAACACCTTCTGTCATCAGGTGATTCACACCCACGAGATTTATTCTTTAAGGTTATCTGCACAGCCAAATCCAGTCACTCTAAAAGTTGACAATTTCTCCACTTATGTACAGCTGAAGCTCTAACTTTACATAAACAGAAACCTAAACTATGTATTCAGAATCATTTTGTTCAGCCCCTTTCTTTACCTTCATCGTAGTAGTGTTCTTTTCATTTCATTTATTCTCTTTTACCACTTGAATTCATTCCACTTCACTTCATCTTCGCCGTCTTTATTGTCATCATAATCATCACACTTTTGATTCAATTTTTTTGTTGTTGACATTTTGCCTTTGCCTACTTTTGATATCTGAACACCAATTCACTTATTTGATAATCTCTGAAAATCTTCCAATTCATCCACTTCAACTCTAAATCCCTTAAATAACAGGTTAATTGTCTTTATTCTTATCATCATATGTATATACCGTAATAGAAATACTACTGTACAGATTGAAAATGAAGTCATCAAAAAGAAAGATTTCTTCGTTGAACAAAAACTGTGTTTTTCCTTATAAGATAAATGGGTACATTTCGTGTGATTTTAGACAATGGCTGTATGAATCCAATGAGTCGCTTATAAAAAATTCTCTGAGAACGAACTCGATACAAATGAATAAGTCACAAATAAGTACTACAGTGTTTGCACCTCAGAGCTGTAATCTTTTTGCTGTGATAATGTACTCTCCCCAAATTCCGAACTTTACCTTAGTCCTCCAGTGCTCCAGGGTATATCAGCGGTAGTCATTTACTCAGTATGGGATCTCCTCTTTTTTTAATATGAAGACAAAGGCTGTTATTCAAGTTCTAAGCGCCCTTGCATATTTTCATATCGAAAGCGGAAATCATTCGTGGAGGTGGACAGGGTCGTGGATCACGTGACAAATGTATACCCAAATTACCTGGGTCGACTGATGACAAACTGACGCTGATATATTTACTTGATTTTTGCTGTTGTTAAGGCTGTTCTCTGAAATCAAATACACTACTGTATAAGTAAGACACATCACGTGTGGTAATTAGTGTATACATTGGGTTTGTCACTCACTAGTATGGCATCGGGAATTCAGCTTCACGCTTTCCCTTGAACCTATCAATGGAAACAATAAACGAAAATACATGAAGAATCATTGATGCGTCAAAGTATATTGCTGTTCTACCGAATACAAATAACAAGGGTGACACGGTACAACTGTCGAAATAATGGGACGTAGTTCCAAATAAAACGAAGGCTATAATTACAGCACCGCAAAGTCTCATCAGTCACGCTGATCATTTACCTCGACTTCTAGAAAACCTACGCAGTATATTCTAATCTTTCTCTCTCTCTCTCTCCCTATTACACTACTCAGTGGACAGTCACAAAGTGATGCATTTCCGCATATTTATAGCACTGAAGTAAATACACACGTGTGAAACTGTCTCCAATTCCAGACCGGTGCATACCAGTTTGAACTAATCTTGTCACAGTCCATACTGGAACAAAAAGTATTCTCAAGAACTTCTAAAGTCTTGAAGACAAATAAATGTGTAAGCCTATAGTTTTAAGGTAGATGATCAGTCTAGAAAACTTATAAGATTCACTGAAGGGAAACTTCCCTTCTCGATGATATTAGATTAAAGCTTTTCTAGTTTGCTAATTCAAAACACGCAACAATATTCATATAGTGAGTATCTATCTATGAAGCCAACATCTAGAAAAGATATATGATCTTGCATCAATCGTTTGTATTTGGAAGGTAATATTACTGCGACATCTAATAAGTAGGTAAGGTATCATACGATAACTTGAAGTTGCAATTAATGTAATTAATTCCGTAGGAGGAAGCGAAACGATAAATGTAGAAGAATCAAGTATGCTGAAATATAATCAGGTAGAAAATCAGTGTACCTTCTCGGTATAAACAGCTTTACATCGACCTATTAGTTTTGATTGACATCACGTAGAGTAACTAATTCTACTCATGCATAAACGTTTAGGTGTATCTTAGCAGACTGTCTAAGCATCTCTCTTCACTTTTCTCTATGTTTTCGCAGAAGATGAACATATCATCTGTGTCAATAGTTAACGTTTTGATAAACTGGTAAGGCAGGTTGTCTTTGATTCACAAATTGGAAATAATCCTACAACCCTGATGTACGCACGAAGGCTACCACCACCATACATACCATAGACAGCGCATAACAAAGGAAATCTAAAAAATCTACCTGATTTATCAAAGATACATAAGATGGGATTAACAGTTTCAGTGTTTTGGAGGTATTTTCTTTCTAGTTCCTTCATCAGTGAAACATGTTTCTTCCTGTCTGCTATATGTGTTAAATAAATGTAGGCATAGAACTCCCCACACCTGGTACAACATAATTCTAAAATGAAATTACTTAATCTTACATGATTTCCAGTGATAAAATGTGATAAAATCCTGACCAGTGAACAAGTAGACGAATAAATAATAGCCTATCACTGTGTACTACATCAAACAAAATTACTTCATTGGGTGAAAATTTAGTCAACTGACAAAACTTCATATCGGTTCATTTAACCTAAGCCCATCCATCTCACAGGACAATACACCAAATAGCCTTCACAACAATACCGCTATCGGGTTTGTTGAGGAACTCCTACAACATTTACAAGCCCGTGGACGAAATAACGAACAGAATTTTGTTTTATACTTTACAAATTCACTAAACATTCGATAATGACAATTATCTGAATATTAATATTCTACAACATGAATATTAAAATATACACCTAACGCAATCATCGAGTGAGAAATAAGAAACGTCAAAACAATCAGCATTCTTGGTATAATATTCATATCAGGTCAAATAGTCTGTGATTACAGTCAGATGTAGATGGTGTTTTATCAGCAAACTCCCAGTATTACTAAACAGGTTGATATTAGGTGGTTGCAGGCCATAGGCAGAAAGCCCTGGACCTCGGTTTTGTACTCGTTGGCACTCGTCAGTGAGGAGTACTTGCGACTTTGAAGGAACTCATACCCCCCTTCAGACTCGAACGCGTATCGCCCAGTGCTGCAGTCAGAGACGCAACCGTTGAGGCATTCGGGCTCACGACTCACCCCATGTAGGACTGTATCGAATAACTTGATTGAACACTAGTTAGTAACTGGTGTAGTGTGTCTAGTCCTTTCTTTGGTGCAGACTGAATCCTAATTTCAACAATCCACAGCGCATCGCGATGGCGAACCACCTAGCATGATGGAATTCAGTCTGCACCAAAGAAAGGACTGGACACATTACACTAGTTACTAACTAGTTTACAATCGAATTACTGAGTAGGATTGTGAACCTTACCTCACCGAAGTGATTACAACATGCTACACACACACACACACACGCATGACCATTCAGTACATAATCGTAGACCTAAAGGTAACCTCAATTAGGGAAGCGGCATAACGCCATAAGCATCTTAACATAACACTGACCTGTGAAGCTTTTGATCACGGTAATTACTTAGCAATAACTTATTTCCAAACAACCGAAAACATCAAGCGATTCAACATGAAATCAAACATACATGCAGGTATTAATTGTCGGACCTCGTGGACACCTTGATACATTCCGTACCCTATATTGATTTTCGCCCTTTCATCCACCTTTAATTATTTATAACTGAAGAGTGTTTCTTTGAACATCTTATGATTCATAACCCTTAGAGTCATTCTGTATCCATTGGAAGGATAAACAAATTTGCATTCCACTAGAAAATATCCTCCCAATGTAGTATCAGGCACTTCAGTTAAAGAAGAGAAACTTGAGATAACGACATAACACAATGTCTGTATGCTATGCTATGCCAATGAAACACATTCCCTATGTGGTGACTTAGGATACACACACACACACAGACGAACAAACGGACAACCCGGCCGCTCAAACCAGCGTGAATAAAGTAAAACTCCAGCTTCTGAGTTCATGATAATCTAAGTGACTAGATTAACAGACAACGAAACAACTGAAAACATCAACGCTTTAATTTGCTAACAATTCTATACAACAGAAATGACACAAAACAAATTCAAAAAGTAAATTTATGTCATCACAATATTATCAAAATATCCCACTTTCTCTGAATGCTTTACGCAGAAATGTTACACGGTATTGAAATTGGAGTCTGCAACCATGCGGATAAGACTCACTTTTCTTTATTATCCCATCCATAGACGCTGTTTTTTGGGGAGTATCCATTGCATACTATAATAACAGGGAACTGATAGAAATGTTTTACCATGTCATGTCGTGTCCTGATTATTTTAACGTACACCACAATGCATATGTGATAGAAAGCTCGCGAAAGATATTTGTAATTTCAAGCTATAACTGAAAATAACACAAACAATGGAGCAATTTAGTAAACTGATAACCACAAGCATACGCTGCATATAAATTTAACTCAAATGAAAAAATAAATTCTGAACAGAATATGGAGTACGAATCTACTTACCCGAGATTGGAAATCGTCAGTTAGCTAACATCGAATCAACAGTTCTAATACATCAGTCATTATTGATATAAGTATAATGGAGTTACGTCAGTCATTAGTAGATTTCAGAAGTTGAAGGTCAGAGACAAGAGAAGATTTGAAACTTATCGCCCAATTTATTGTAAGCAGTACGACGAGACCTCTAAGTATATGGGTTCGTCAGTTTGTTTTCGTGTTATTCGAGCGGCTGGTTCTCTCATAACACTAGGCACATAATGGCCGACGCTCATTGATGTTGTTGAGTGTGCAACAAATATATCCACAACCGGACGGTTTGTACATTCGAAGTTGTAATATACACCAGCTATTCCAGCCCACTTTTCCCTGTCTAATGAAAGATATTTTGAATTTAGAAAACCATCAATCAGAGATGACTTGACTACTTTGGGAACAGAGATTGACGAACCGCTGAATCGTTCGGCACAACGCTGAGCGAGCTGGGTCCTTACTAACTGTTCACCTGTACCAGAAGTGACGGTACCGATTCGCGAATACAAACTGAGTTCCTCTGCCCAGCAACCACAACCGTATGTACATGCTTGTCCAATACGACCCTCGTATTTTATTGCAATGCCACCGCTTGACGCCGCAGAGGCAATGTTACCTTCCAAGTCCACGCATACAGCGCCGACGGTGTCAAAACTGGATTTCTTTTCTTCACTGGAATAACTACACCCAGGCATACAATCGGTAATACTCGCATTCCCATTCGTTTTATCACCATCATGTAACCAACTTCTGTATTTTTCCCACAATAATTGTGAAGCTCTAGTGGTAAGATCACATGTATCAATAAAATGTCCTTTTGTAGCTGCCCAGGCACGAACCCCATCACCAACAAGTAAACATGGCTGGACACGTCCACATTCACCCAAAGGCTGGTCAATCTGCGTCTGTAGGAGAAGTCTTGCGAGTTTTACAGGATTTCTCACATTTCGGACGGCTCCGACCCCAGCAAACCGATGGGTAGAACTAGTCATTATGCCTGCGTCACACTCGACAAACCCATTTATAGTTAAATTACTTCCAAGCCCCGCATTGGTTAATGAACAGTCTTCTAAATAGGCAACGGCAGTCTCTACAGCATCCACAGCGTTCTTATTTTCAAAACACATCAGATCAGAGGCATGTAAACAGGCTTCATAACATAATTCATTATATTTCTCTTCGTTAAATTTTGAGTGGTTCCCTGCACCCGCATGCACAAGAACACAAGCCATGATATAGCACTACGAAATTACTCTGCTGAAGCTTCTAAAATGAAACAAAAATAGTAGTAGATAGTAAGAAAGGATGTAGAACAATCGTGTAAATATGCATACAATCGAAAATAGATTAAGTGAGAAGTAATTTCGCCGCCAACTATTCAGCATCATCACTCTGAATCACTGATATTTAAACTGAATTAAATTCTTCAGATAAATTTTATTTCAATTCACACCTTAGGTGCATAAGCAATTTCAAAACAGATGGATTTCGAAACCCTTGTAAAAAGTGCTCATGACCATATTCACTTATCGGGAAAAAGGGAATACATCGCCAGAACAACCAAAACATACCATTCATAGCATCGCCCAAGTAATGACACCTCAAAAAGCTGATTCTAAACTACATCGACAATAAAGAAAATCATTCTTACCCATTTGGTTTGTGAGAGACATTTCACAGTCAACCTCCTTTAATCACATCAAAACCAAAACCATCGTCTCTCGCTTAAATTTGAGAGGGAAAAGAACAAGAGGTTCAGCGAAAATATCTTTCAGATATGAGGTTGGTATTCCGATGATCAGATTCTTGTCATTTATATATTTGCAAAGGAAACAAATTGTGTCTGTGAGAGGCACATTCGTAAATAGAGATTCTACGTCCAGTGATAACATTCGTTTGCCATTTACATTCAAGTCTTTTATGCATTCAATAAACTCAAAAGTATCTCGGAGAGAGTACTTACAGAGTTGTTATCTCACAGTCTCTAGCATTTCGGACAGCCATTTGGCAATCGGATCGTATGGTGATCCCACCATGTCTAAAATTGGTTGAAGTGGCACACCTGCTTTGTGCACCTTTGGTAGACCGTAGAGTAGAGGGATAATTGATCCTGTTGGTCTCAGGCGTTCAACTAGGTTGTCAGTCATGAGGCAGTCGCTCTGCATTCTCCTAAGGACATCTGTCAGTTGCTGTTTCATCAGTTCTGTCTTAGTTTTCTCATTGTCTGGTTTTGAAAATTTACTATCAGCAGAGCCATGGACTCGTTACCGCAAAATTCTAAACAGTATTACAAACCAATACCTTCGCATACACCAACTCACGTATTATTACAAAATACTCAGGTATCAGGCATATGTGTTACAGAGCAGTTCTTTTCGTTAGACTCTACGCTTGAGATATCGCTACTGAAAGAACGTAGATGAAAATTTCAGGTTTCTCACCACATGTTTCTCCGCTTCATTGGTCGCTCTAGGCGAAGCGACATGGTGGGTAGTGTTGCAGTAAAACATAAATTCTTAGGTGAGAGGAGTTCGATCGGTGAGGTGATGAATGTATACTCATCAACGTGTCTGGGACATTTGATACACTTATCGAGTCATTGACGTCTTCATTAAGAAATGCCAGCTGAAGTGCGATTCGGCTGGAAAAATCGTGGGGTCGTGAGGTTGAAAGTGATGCCAATCCATTCAGCCCTAGAGCCTGAGATATTGAGTGTTGCTCAGCTAGAGCCTTCAGGGTGCAGACTTATGATGAATTGCCTTCTTATGACTTTAGAAATTCTGAATACTTTCGTGATCTCATTTTAATAATGATCTCTTGCACATATAATGTAATCCAACTTCTGTCCCCTTTCCCTGTTTTCGGAAGTGAAACAATCTAAAGAATTTATTAAAGCATCTACAGTTTTACCATATAAGGAGGGGATATCTGAAATCCTACGTAAGATTCTTAATAAAGCAGGAATTAGGGTGGCATTTAAACCCACAAACTCACTCAGAGACAAGCTCGGTGGGTTAAAGGACCCTGTTGACCCAATTAGATAGAATAATGTAATTTACAAAATACCTTGAACTACATAAGTCAAACTAGTAGATCGAGGGTAGTCAGGTTGTCAGAACATAAGAATTCAGCTAAGGTTAGAACAATTGACCCCGCGAAGACAAGTAATCTAGAAAAAGGCTCAGCAATTGCACTGCATGCACTAACACACAATCCCACAATAGGGTGGCAGAGGGTTAAAATTTCAAAAAGTAATACAGATAGGTGGCGAGAGAGGTTGATTACTGAATCTTTGTTCATAGAATCCACACCCAACACGTGCAATAGGAATGACTCATTATTCTTAACAGAAATATGGAAAATATTACTACCAGTCAAATCAAGAGATGAGAAATGGTGGAACCGTATGAATGAAGTTGGAAAGTTGTGTCAGTAACTTGATATGATTATGAGCAATAAATTGTGCTCGAAACGTTGTCATCATTAAATATTCCTGTATAACACTGTGACACTTTATTAAAATAAATTCCATCCTAAGTGGAATTATACGCCACCACAGTGCACAAGTTCTATTCTTTTATCCTCACCAGAGGGAAAGACGCAGTATTTGACAAGACCACAATAGTCAAGAGTTACATGCCATTTTTTTCGAGACATAATCGGCTTCAACAGTTGTCACACAAATCATGATTCATGAGCAATATTTCTTTGGACAACGCTCCAGGTAGGAAGATCGGAGTGACAATAGAAGCCACTGCACAGTTTCACTACCATAAAATGGAGGTCTTGTTCATTACATTATCAGAACCTTGTAGTCGAATACAATGTCTCTCCTGAAGTGGAGTTTGCGGAAAACTGGTTTAACAATGCAGTGGTTCCAGATTTAATGTGACTTAGCGTTGTGAAATTGGAGAACACCAAGCTAATATTAGACATCATCACAGTATACAGTGGTGAGAAGGATTTCATTTTGGGGCAGATACATACAGTTCAAGTGTTGGGTTTGTTCCACCCAGATTTGCCCAGCCAGCACTGACTTTAGGTGCACTTTGGGTAGACTTCGGGTGCAATTCAACTGTCCTAGTTTCTGCAATGAGCCCGGAGATTTTGCCCTGAAATGTCTACAGTGCGCCTAAAGAAAATGTTAGCTGGACAACTTTTCAGCTGCAGATGGCTTGCACCACTTAACCATTGCTTTTGTCCATCGAATGAATGCACCCAAAATTTTAATTACAGACTTAAAGAATCGCAAAGTTAAACTATCATAGCCAGAACCACAGTGGCCTTGGACAACCAATCGGAATTCAGGTGCAAATAGCCGCATAATCGTTGGAAAATACACTAAAAAATACTGCAGTTTTGATACTACACTGTATAGTTGCAGCTTACATGTTGCAAGAATGTCTCTCAGTTACCATACAGATGGTCATTGAGATATCATACCATGCCCAATAAATGCATTCATCCAGGTGACTGTAGGTCGTGGTACTTTGAGATCCATTGACACTTCTAACACTGTTCTCCAACCTACCCTTAACTCCAACTATAATCCTAACTTTAACCCTAAACCTAGGTTCATGTTAGCTAACATTAACTCTAGACCCTAAACCTTAATCTTATAAGCCACAACCCTACCCAACAGTATAGATTTGCAGAACATTGAATAAGTAGAATACAGTATCTATCCTCTCAAAGTCCAAAAAGGTAGACATGGTTTGATTTGGAATGACATTACATAACATGGGATATCCCATGTGTCTGATCGGTTCTTGATGGTCAACCTTTGAAAGACCTTGACTTTCGCTGTTCTACTTCAATTCGGTCAAAGAAACAAACAAAAATTCTACCGTTTCTACACTAGCCCAGTATCTACCAATTGACGTAGCATTCAAAAACAGGACGAACAGAATCCTACCTGAAGTCCGCGCACTCAAAATTGAAAGTGTTCGACCACGCACCTCCAGTCAACTTAAACAACCGACTTCTACACCCAACAAGGAAGAATGGTGAAGCTAAAAAGTAATAATTTTGGCGATTAATTCACTCCGGCTACAGTTGGCGAGGTGGGTCCTCGAAATAGAAGTGTTTTTGTTCATACCTCTTGTTCTGCTGCAGTATCTGTTACCTTCCCAAGCTTATTATAATGCTGAACTAAATCTCACTAATTCTGAAATAATTCTGACATTCTATAGTGAGTGAGTTCTGAATCTGTTCTGAAATGGATTCTTTAATGGCACAGACTAGAACTCAGTGCATGTTTACAGCATGACTGGCACTAATTCAGCACCGTGTTCTTTTTCAAGGCATTTTCAGGAGTAGATCAGGACCTACTGGGTTTGTTTATCATCGTTGTTCCAGCCCTCACAGGACATAATGAGCACGGACTAGCGTTACTTCAGAACGAAAAGACTTAATTCGGCATCCAGTTCTCTTTTCAAGCACGACCAGCGTTATTTCAGAAAATAGTGAGTAGATAAAATCTTCATTTACCACAAAAAGGCATTATCGAAGAATAGGTTAGAATAAGTTTAGGATTGTTGTAAGCTTGGGATGGTCGCAGGTTATATGGTACCAGCATCAATTCGCATTCTTGCTCTCTTGTAGTCTTCTCCTTCAACGACCACATGAGTTTTCATGAAAATAACACAGTCACATATTCCTCTCGTTTCAAATTTAATGCTGGGTGACCACGGGCTGAATGAGCGAAATTCGACCACAGGTCTTCAGGATATCTCTAGCTTTCCGCCAATCGAGGCAGCTACTTCTTCCAGGGAGACTGTTCTTACCGCACAGTTCGAAATGTTTTGGCAACTAGAAAAAGGGCGAATCTCTGAAGAAACCTTCATAGATTTGTCAACGGCCAATAACTCCGCGTATTCGTGAAGGCATTTGTACTGCCTAAAACATACTTAAACATACTCTACAGAAACCTTTGTTGGGTCACTGATGATCCGGAAAGCCGTCTCTTCACAGAATCGCCTACGGAGGCGACCCCCATGGATCACTTACTTTCGGGCTGAACATATATGATGGGCTGATCCCGAGGCCGACTCTCGCGTAAGAATAATACAAAAGCCAATCACTGATTCCAAGTATTACTTAAGAAGAAATCAGTGACATTTGGATGTGTATTTCGGAAGCACACTAGTGGGAAGTTGAAGCGAAGAAGCCCGAACAAACACGCGTAGAAGCCATCGACGTTCAGTGCACACCCACAAGAAGAAGAGGCTCT